GTACAATTCGAATAAAGCTGAGGTCTCTGTGAATTTTGTGAGTGATTTGACCTCAGTTGGCCATGGCCCCATGAGCCATAGGTCACCCCATATGGCTGCAAACCCCGTGTTTGCTGCAGCGTCTGTCCATATTGTGGGTGAAGTGTCTGAGTGAGATGGTATAAACATGGCACGCCCATTCCAAGAAGTGAGGAAAATCCTCCACATGCTCAAATCGGATGTCGCATGTTTGTCTAGTGAAATGTAAGATGTGTCTGAGGTGAATTGTGGAAATAGTGATAGCAAATGTGAAATAAATGATCTCCCCTGGGGAATGATTCTCATTGCAAAATTAAGCGATCCCAGCAATGATTGTAGGTCTTTCTTAGTGCAACGACCTTGCTGTAGGTAGTGGTCAATACTTGCCAGGATACGCTCAATTTTCTCCTTAGGGAGGCTGGCCTGCATGTGTACTGTGTCTAGTTGTATTCCTAAAAATTGCATCTGGGTGGCGGGCCCCAGGGTCTTGTGTGGGGAGACTGGAACAGAAAGTGACTCAAATAATGCCAACATGTGTTTTAAACTTGTGGGTGGACTTGTGTTCTCAATTGTGAGGAAGTCGTCTAAATAGTGAATCACAGAGGGACATTGGTAAACATTTAGCAACAACCAACATAAAGCCTCTGCAAATGTGTCGAAAATACGCGGGCTGCTCTTAGAGCCAAAAGTGAGACGAGTGAAGAAATAGTATAACCCTTCCCATTTAATGCCGTGAAGGTGCCAAAGTGTAGGGTGCATAGGCAGTAGTTTGAAGGCATTTACTACATCCGTTTTGCTTAACCATGCCCCTGTGCCAGCTTTAATGATAGCCCCGATGGCATGGTCGATAGTGGCGTAATGTAGTGAGAACTCTTCAGATGGTATCAGTGAATTTAGGCTAGGGACCGTGGAGGAATGTGGTGCGGATAAATCAATGATCAGCCTGGGTTTAAGTGAGTTTTTCCCTGTGACAATCCCAATGGGATTGGTTCTCCAAGAATTGAAGGGTGGTGAAAGGAATGGACCCAGCAAAAACCCTTGTTTCACCTCGGTTGTGATAAGTTTAAGTACCAGCTGTGGGTCATCCCGTGTGGAAAGTAAGTTGTCACATTCCAGTGTGCCTGTAGGTAAATGTATCAACCCTGTGTGAAATCCCTCCGATAATCCTGTTATGAGATAGTCGCTGAAGTGTCGAGACGTAGCAAATCGGTGAATAAGCTGAGGTTCACGCATGTGAGATAGGGTTTTGGGAAAGCTTTATTTGGGCACATTGTCTTGGAATGAGCCCTGAAACAATGTGAACAAACATGCATTAGTCTACAGGAACTAAAACCACAATTGCCGGCATTAAAATTATTACATACTTGGGATTTCCCTAAGAAGACAATATCTCTTCCTAGTTTGTCTTTCAAACCTTTGTTTGATCTTGGGGGGTAAGTTGCTGCTTGGTTTTGTTCTACCTCAGCTGTATTAGGGCAGAAATTTGTGCTGTGGGTTGCTGATGAGCATACTGCACAAGTTGGGGGCCTGAGGCCTGCAAAGTGCCTACAGAATAGCTCAGTGTCCAACTTGCTCCAATTGATGTTTAAGTTGAACTGAGCCAGAGCTGCTGCCACTTTTGCAGAGAAGGAACGATGGTAATCGTAGAACGCTGTACCACCGTATTTGTGTCCCAGATCCACCAACTTGTGCATGTACGTATCCAGCTCGGCTCTTTTCCCTGGGTATACAGTGCAATATACATCCCTATAGATGCCAAACCCTAATACAAATTCTGGGATGTTCAATTTTTGTTTAGGCGAGGGTCTCTAGCTCTAAGGACTACGGAAACATCCCCACAAGCAAAGGTCCTGTTCTCAAGGACATCCTGGGAGGCAATGAGCAATGAAGCTAGGTTAACGTCCTTGCCTTCCAGAATGTCTTTTTTTTAAGGTGAGCTGGGACCATGTGTGAAGGATCAATGGATTCTATGTCAGCCGTAGCTGCCAGGGTATTACCGGGTAAGGTATTAGCAAGAGGCTGAGTGGTGACCGTTGTATTTGTGGACTGAGTAACACTACCGGCCTCCAATTTGTCCAGCCTGTCGCTGATTGTCCCTATGGATGCCATAAGGGACGTCATCATAGCATGAAATGCTGGCATTTGCGATCCGTTAGGGCCTTCCCCTGCATCGGAGTTGTCAGTGGTAGTGTATAATAGCCTATACAACTCCGCCTTCCTAGCTGTAGCCGGGAAAGGGATGCAGCGTCTTCTTAGCTCAGCTGTAAGACGTGGTATGGTCCATGATCTAAGGGATGCAGGGCTATTCACGTCTGTACCCGGAACAGGGGTGGCAGGCCTAGCGGGTGTGCTAGGTAGTGACAGTTCTTCAGGGATATCAGGCGTTAGTGACATAACTGAAATTATAAATATAAACAGTCAGTCGTATAAAAATGTATTGTGGGTGGGTACTGGTGGGCTAGCTAAGTACCAAGCGGTGAAACAATTAAACTTCTTTTGAGAGTGACAGATGAGACCCTGCTAGTTGCCAAGCGGCTTGAGAGGCACTATCTATGCGTGGGCCCGAGGGGAAGATTGGGGCCACCGAACGTTGTGGCGGGGTGTAGGCCTCTCGGTGTCATTTAAAGCATAAAAAAGATTGGGAGTGACAGGTGAGGCCCTCTCTGTATATTGATGCGAGGCGGCTAGCTATGATTTGGCCCGAGGGACGTATTACCTCCGAGTGTGAGGTTAGGGATGTTGGTCTCGCGGGACCACTAGCCTATGGATTAAGACCAGAATTATTTTAACTAATTGGGCCACCTAACCTGGGACCAGTACCCCTCAATATTTTAGGGTATATTGGGTTCTGGCGTAGTACCTGATAGTGAGTCAGGCTGATCTCTCAATGACGTAACTGTGATATTTGTCGGGTAGTTGACCTGTAGGTATAAGATGATAAGTAAATATCTGGAAAGTGGGGTGGTAGTTAGGCCAGATCGTGGACCAGAACCTACCCGATAACTGCGGAGGAGATATAATCAAAAGAAACTGGCTCCTTGCTTGTAAAAGCTACCGTTCCAATGATTAAACCTAGGAGAGTAAATTATAACATTTTACCTAAAATCATATGTTTATATGGTCATTTATATGAATCATATGACAATGTTACCAACCTATAAAGTATAATTGATACCGATCACTGGGTCCCCAAATTTTAATATGAATTCTGGTAAGGCAACCTGTTGGAAGATGTCAGAAATCAGGATTGAATTAAGTGTAGCATAATTTAAGGGAAATTTTTTTTTTTTTTTTTTAATTTGTATTTATTTTGGTGCTATATCATTATTGACCTGTAGGGGGCGAGATTCCACCTAAGAAGTGGATGCAGGATCTTGTATAATTAGTGAGAAATGCACGAATTTGAGTCGAATGTGATGATAGTATATAATGACTATTTGTATAGTAGAAATCCTAAGTATCTAGCCGAATGTAGCGTTCGTATGAAATCTAAAACATGAATTACAAAGCTTAGTGGCGAAGTGTATTTAGGCGAAAATAACCGAATGCGGTTGAATGCGAATGGGGCTCCGCTGTGTAAGCCGTAAATGTGAAGCGGTTTGCTTTACGGCGGGCCCACTTACGGTTTTTTGGCGGCAGCAGTACCGGGGAAGCTGTGCAGTCGGCGGTGACGGCGGGAAAAGCGCCCTGGAGAGCCCGGAACCACTCAGGAGGGCACCGGACCAGGAGACCACGAGGAAACAGGTAAGAGGAATCCAAAATGGCGGTCTGAACCAGAAGTAACGTTTCAGACTCGCCAGACCATTACGGTAATGTGGGAGTGGATTGGCAGCCTTTTTATAGGGAAACCAAGCCCCTCCCACAACTACAGGCCAAGCCTTTTAATATATACACACACACACACACACACACAATACCAGTAGAGAGCACTCAAAGTAAATTTCATCTGTTGCTTTATTGAGCAATTACAAATTCACACAACGTTCAAGTCGATATTTCAGTCTGTAAAATACTTTTTTCAAGACAATTGTGTATGTGAGATGGATACCTCATATACAAAAAATGCAGTGATCCTATTTGAAGGTGAACAGGTGAAAGTTAACAACGAATCAGAGTGATGTCATTAATGACGTAAACATGTTTGAATTACATAGTAAATTGAAGTTAACCCTATGTGTAACCGGTATGTGAAACATACTCTCGTGTAGATAAGTCAGAAAGTAATAAAAGATAAATAACTATAAAAATAAAGTATATACAAATGTTTCAACCCTAACCAAGGGAACATGGATACATAGTACTTATCATCATTAGCTAAATTTTCACTCAGTTATATAGCAAACATAAATACAGTTGCAAGAAAAAGTATGTAAACCCTTTGGAAAGATATGGATGACCTGTTGGAAGCAAACCCAGAACTGGTGTGTGTTTTTTTATAGGGCAGGGCAGCTGTAACCAACACCTCCAATCTCATCTCATTGATTGGACTCCAGCTGGCTGACATCTCACTCCAATTAGCTCTTGGAGATGTCATTAGTCTAGGGGTTCACATACTTTTTCCACCTGCACTGTGAATGTTTACATGGTGTGTTCAATAGAAACATGGCAACATTTCATTCTTTGTGTGTTATTAGTTTAAGCAGACTGTGATTGTCTATTGTTGTGACTTAGATGATGATCAGATCACATTTTATGACCAATTTGTGCAGAAATCCTCATCATTACAAAGGGTTCATATACTTTTTCTTGCAACTGTAAATATTGTCAGTGCAATTCTCATAATGGGATGTTTTTTAAATACAGGAGGCAGGAATGATTCACTTACGAGAATGACTAATATCAATGACTAATATCAATTTCCTGGATCTACAAATTGTCATCTCAGGCAATCGCTTGGGCTATACTCTGTTTTCTAAATCAACGGATAGGAACACTATTCTGCATTCAACAAGTTTCCATCCTAGAAAACGTAGAGAGTCACTGCCCATCTCCCAATTCATAAGTGTATTGCGCAATAATTTAGATGACAACCGGGCGAAGATACAGATTCAGGAAATGTTCCAAAAATACCTACAAAGACAATATTCAAAAACGGTTTTGAATGTGGCATTCACAAAGGCAATAGACTTAATTGCAGAAAACAGGATTCATCAAGACAACGGTGATCGATTAATTTTCCCTCAGGCATTTCATCCAAAGTCCCAAAAACTCAGAGATACCATTTGAAAAAATTGGCACGTTCTATACAATGATCCTTGCCTCCTGTATTTAAAAAACATGCCATTACGAGTTATAGAAAAGAGAAAAATCTGAGAGACTATTTGATGCACACAGATATAGTGTCCACAACACAGTCATTACAGAAAGTGACAAAAGCAGGATGTTTTCGCTGTTTGAACTGTCTGGCGTGCAATTCCATGATACCGGGTAAAACCTTCTGTCACCCAAAATCTGGAAAGGTGTACACAATTAAACACCGGATTACGTGTAGGACCACACATGTTGTCTATAGAATTGCAAGCCCCTGTGGTCTCACTTACGTGGGCAAGACATCTAATGACCTAAGGGTCACAGGTCTACTATACGTTCAGCACTACTGAGCGGCACTGCAAGCACTCCAGTCGCCCGGCATTTCCTTGAGATGGGACATAGCCTGTCCTCACTTTGCTTTATGGGCACAGATCACTTACCAATTTCACCCAGAGGAGGAGATTGTGACAACCTGTTACTCAGACATGAGGCTTTTTGGATATACATGTTGGAAACATTATCACCATCTGGTTTAAATGAGAAGAACTCAGTATATTGTTTTTTACCTAGAAGATAATATATGATTGAGCTAGGTTTTACAGTATGCATTAATATAGAGATATAATATATGTATATAGATGTGTGTGTGTGTGTATATATATATATATACACACATATATATTTTTTTTTAATTTACTAAACATATTTTTTTTTATTTTTCAGCAGCAGGGAGACTACCTGACAGCCCAGGCAGTCCCCTGCAGGCAGATGCAAAGACACCTATTGTGGCCAGGGCCGCAATGACGGTTGTCATGGGCCCGGCGGCCCTGGGGTCACTTCCTCCCAGCTCACTCCGCGCGGGAGGCACGCGCGCACCAGTGAAGAGGGAGCCGTGCCTAGTTCCATCAGCCCCAGCCACCCTCTTGCAAAGAAAAGGTAAGAAACAGGAGGGTGGCTGAAAAATTAGCTGTGTGTGTGTATGTATGTATGTATGTCATTATGAATGTATGTATGTTTGTCTATATGTATGTATATCAGAATGAATGTATGTCTGTATGTCATTATATATGTCAGTATGAATGTATGGATGTCAGTATGCATGTATGTCAGTATGTATGAATATATGTATGTCTCTCAGTATGTCTGTATATATGCATGTATGTCAGTATGAATGTATGTATGTATGTCTGTATGCCATTAAGAATGTATGTCTGTGTATGTATGTATGTGTGTATGGATGTCAGTGTCTGTATGAATGAATGTATGTATGTCTGTCAGTATGTCTGTATGTCATTATGAATGTATGCATGAATGTCTATATGTATATATGCCAGTATCAATGTATGTCTGTATGTCATTATGTATGTCTGTATGTCAGTATGAATGTATGTCTGTGTATGTATGTATGTGTGTATGGATGTCAGTGTCTGTATGCATGTATGTCTGTATGAATGTATGTATGTATGTATGTATGTCTGTATGCCATTATGAATGTATGTGTGTGTATGGATGTCAGTGTCTGTATGCATGTATGTCTGTATGAATGAATGTATGTATGTCTGTCAGTATGTCTGTCAGTATGTCTGTATGTCATTATGAATGTATGCATGAATGTCTATATGTATATATGCCAGTATCAATGTATGTCTGTATGTCATTATGTATGTCTGTATGTCAGTATGAATGTATGTCTGTGTATGTATGTATGTGTGTATGGATGTCAGTGTCTGTATGCATGTATGTCTGTATGAATGTATGTATGTATGTATGTCTGTATGCCATTATGAATGTATGTCTGTGTATGTATGTATGTGTGTATGGATGTCAGTGTCTGTATGCATGAATGAATGTATGTATGTCTGTATGTCATTATGAATGTATGCATGAATGTCTATATGTATATATGCCAGTATCAATGTATGTCTGCATGTCATTATGAACGTATGGATGTCGGTATGCATGTAAGTCAGTATGTATGAATGTATGTATGTCTGTATGTGTGTATGTATGTCGGTGTCTGTATGTATGTGTCTGTATGTCCTCATGCATGTGTGTCTGTATGTATGTTATTATGTGTCTGTCTGTCACTATGTATGCCTGTGTGTCTGTATATGTGTGTATGTCTCAGTATGTATCTGTGTGTGTATCTGTGTCATTTTGTATCAGTTTGTGTGTGTTTTCCTTTGTGCGAGATTTGGAGGAGGACTCTGTGGGCGGGATTGGAGGCAGGCCCTAGGGGGCCCAGACACTGAGCCGAGTTAGGGGCCCCAAAATTTCTGGTGGCGGCCCTGATTGTGTCCATGTGACCGCTCTTTCAGAGCGACCACATGGCCCAAGGGGGCCTAATTTTCCAAGGGGTGGCTGTCTGGCATTCTCCCCAGACCGGGAGCAACACCGATCGCCGGCAGGGAAACGTCAGCGGGTAAATAATATTAGCCGTGGGCGTACCTAGATCCACCTGATCTAAAAGAAAACGTGATTCATCAAACCAGGCAACCTTTTTCCATTGCTCTATGATTCAGTTCTGATGCTATTCATTGAAGGCGCTTTCGGTGGTGAACATGGGTCATCATAGACACTCTGACTGGTGGTGTGCGCTATGCAGCCCAATACAAAGCAAACTGTGATGCACTGTGTGTTTTGACACCATCATTACATTTTTCAGCAATTTGAGCTACAGTAGCTCTTCTGTGTGATTGATCCAGAATGGAATGCCTTCACTCCCCATGTGCATCAATGAGCTTTGGGCACCCATGGCCCTGACGCCGGTTCAACGGTTGTCCTTTCTTGTACCATTTTTAGTAATTACTAACCACTACATTCCAGAAACACCCCAAAGCATCAGACCATTTCGGAGATCTGACCCAGTTGTTATAGACAACATTATTTGGTCCTTCTCAAAGTCATTCAGATCTTTTCTCTTGCCCAGTTTTCCTGCTTCCAACATATGAAATTCAAGAACTGACTGTTCACTTGCTGCCTAATATATCCCACCCCTTGACAGATGCCATTGTAATGATATAATCAATATTACATTTTTTGACAATCACATTTTTATTGAAGGTTTTATCATATACAATACACAACAAAAGGTTCATCAAGTTCTGCGTGTTGAAACAAACATAGTAAGACCTCCAGTGCATTCCGTATATATAATGTGGTGTGAAGACAGCCATCAGCAAAGAGCTTGCCAGGTAAATGGGCCTTTGTTGTCAGGTCGATAGTACTCCCAGGTTCGGTGAGCTAGTTGCACAGATGCACCTGTAATAAACCATCTGGTGAAAATTGATTAGCATATATTTCCCATGTTATTACCGCCTCAGTGCTGTATCTACCTAGGGAACCTCGTCCAATTTTTTCTAAAAGGCAGTATCAACCAGAAGACACTTGGCTACTATGGGGGTTCAAGTACTTTATCATGTCGTAAAATAAAAGCCTGTGTATGAACAAGGTTTGGGAGCTGCCAACGTTAAACAAAATACATGGGCCTAAGTTTGACATTATCTAAGTCAGGTATTGAGTAGGCTTAGGGCAATGTATAAGTAGCCTCGGCACGGCCATCGTGACTTGGCTATAGTAGATGCAGAGTGCGTCTTGTAGATACAGTGTGTTCAGTGTGTGTAGTAGATGCAGTGTGTGTGTGTATCTAGTGGATGCAATGTGTGTGTGTTTGTATGTGTGTAGTGGATGCAGAGTATGTGAGTAATGTGGATGCAGTTTGTGTAACAGTAAATAGAGAGAGAGTGTCCGTCCATCCCCTTACATTTAAATGGCCATTGAAAAAGTACTAAAAAGCTCCCATTTTTTTAAAGGAACACGCCAGACACATAAAACACTTCATCTTGCTAAAGTTCTATGTGTGTCTAGAATTTGTCATTAGTTATTTATTTATTTTGACAGTGTGTAGAAGTGCCACGTTTAATAAAAATGAATCAATGAAAACATATATATTGGAAAACTTATATGAGACGCCTCACATTGTTGTATTCCCCTGGTATATCATCTATTAAATATATTGTGTTGTATTAATACCAGTAATAAATAAATACTGTATTTTGTTTTATCTCTTTGCAGTTTACCAGAATATGCTGTTGAATGATTAAGTATATACGCATTTAATGAATTTGCGCACATTTACTCTATATACGTATTTTTCAGTCTTGAGATACACCACCTGCCAAGGAATAGATGACTGTTATTATGTCCTGATATGTAAAACCATAGAATTCAAATTTCTTTTTCCCATGACTGTATGCTTGTAGACGCCAAACACTGCATGCGGTGTATAGTCGCCATATCGACAGTCGGATTCCAAGACAACCCCCACATACCTAACCCAATAACGCACTGACACGCAGGTATATGGGAAAATTTGTCAGCAGCTTTATTTAAACAATCCTGAATAATAACAATTTATTAATTATAATAACCATAATAATAATTTAACAAATAAACATGGGTCAATTTCCCCTCCAGCACTCGGACCCCCGACACCTGTAGGCCCCCGGCCTCCGCTCGCGTGGCACTCACCAACTTCCCTAACCGGAGAGCTCCGATAAAAGCCAACAGAAACGCTGCCTGGAACAGCGACACTTCGAACCTGTTGAAGCACATTTCTGGCAACAATCTGACCAGATCCCCTAGCACTCGCACCGATACCGGGCGTCTAGTGTCAGGAAGCCTGCGGCCCCTCCGATACCCTTTTAATGCCTGCCTAATGACAAAGGTCTTAGTAATATCCTCCTTCCCGTGTAGCTTAAACCAGAAAGCCATCGCCGCCATGGACCTGTCAACCACAGCTGGGGATGCCCCCCTTGCCAGAAATTGACAGGTGTACCAGAGAAACGCATCTGTGAGCGATCCCCCCACGAGTACGCGGTCCAGCCCTCTCCATGACCGTTCCCATGACTCCCAGACCTTACGGTATGGGGCCCACGTGGCTTGTGCCAGCGAAGCCTTCACA